AAGCTCTAATTATTTTAAAATAATAAGTCATTGATGTTTATTATGTTGAAGGAAAATTAAATCGTCATTTTGCATTTAAGGCTTTAAGAGAAATTAAATAATAATACGTCTAGGGGTATATAAATTTGGCTAGATCTGAATTGTTACGGCTATATCATTTCATTTCAACCTCCGATGATAGCTTTCCTATTTTCCCACTCATTTATCTTAGATCTTATAGATTTCAAAACTTTTTAAGCTGTAATAGAGTCTACTTTATTCAAAACTATTCTCAAAGACAGCACCAATTTGTCGATGATAAAATTGAATCAACAGATTCTCTCATATAATTATGAACTATTCCTATATTTACTAGTTTATGATTTTTAGGTTATTTAGCCGTATATTATCTACACAAAAACCTCCATGATCCATCCTTTTTCTCGACTAGGAGGACTGGAGAGGCAAATGGATTGTATGATTTGCTATGTAGCATTTCTTTGACCAACTTCTCTACTTTTGTCTTCTGGATGAAGGGGCATCTATACGGCCTGATTATGAATGGTTGTGCTCCTGCTTTTAGTAGAATGTGGTAGTCATGTGACCTAGAACGATGTAGACCTTATTCTGACTTATGATAGATGCTCGTGCTTCCTTAGTTTTTATTTAGTGTGCAATTAATAATTTTATCGTTATTGTGATTAATTATGTTTGCAGTGGGATGTATCTTGAATCTACTAGCCGATCGACATGCCTAGTAAACTTAATTATCATATACATATATTTTATTAGAGATTGGAGTAAATTATAATTTGATCAATTTAATTAATTTTATATAAGATATCATGAGTTGTCAATTCCTTTGTATGTTTAATCGGCCAACATCACTTATCAACATCTGCTTATCGAATTATTAGAACATAAACATCAATATAAGGTCGAAACATTGTGCTTTCTGCCAATTATATTGGATGCTCAAGCAGGCATTTCTTTGATCGAGCACTGTATTCCTGCGCATATCATACATCATATCTACTGGAGAACAAGGAGAAAATAGAGGTGGCTTATAGAATTAAACTAACCATAGTCAGAATTACTTCTAGTTCATATTGCGGTTAAGCAACCCTTGAAATGATAAATAAAGATCTTTGTTATCCGTCCCAAAAAATCTCCTGCTTTTTCCAAAGTCTCCTGGAAGTATGAGAATATAAATAGTCAGAAAAAATAAACAGAAATATAATTTTTGGGGTTTTGCATACAGGAATTTGTTAATAACCTCACGAGATTGTCTTTGAGCATTTAATTCCTTTACATTTGCCAGAAATGCACTAAACTGTTCCAGTGATAGACGACTCCTGAATAAACAAAGCAACCAATTGACCGAAGAACTCCTTTCCATCAATTCGTGGAGTACGAGCTTGAAAGTTTCAAAATAAATTATAGACAAGTCAGAAGGAAGTCATCGATGGTACAAGAATGCAAGAGTAAAGTAATTACAATGGCTAGCAGTAACCAGTAACTTCTATATGCTAATAAAAATAAATAAAAAATCTTGAGTACTCATACCTGGTAGCATGCGTCCACGAGGTGGAGAGTTTGCAGCCGAGGACTGCTGACTCGATGGGTACCATGAAGAAATAGAACCACGTCCATATTGAGTGGTTGTTGGAGAGGTGGTACCAGAGGTTTTGTGAGGTGATCCAGCAGTCGAGTATCTTCTTGGAGACACACTAGTAGAATATGCTTTTGGAGCAAGGGATGGTGTTATAAATCTATGTCCAACTTGCTTAGGGACTGCAAACCAGAAGTACCCCGAAAAACAAAATATTGCTTATATCACATACTGGGAAACAGAATTGCAGATGCTTATCATATTTCATAAACGCCAAGCAGAAGCAAATACCATTATCAGTAATGTTTGTACTTTCTATAGAACCGGTAACAGAATGGTTTCTTCTGAATCCATTTGCCTCGTCATCTACAATAAAATTATAATATACTATCACAACACAACTGATAGCTGGCAATATCAGCCCAAAATAAATATAAAATTATGAATTATCAAACAAGTTCATTAAATATCACCGAAAGTTTCCCACAAAAATAATAACCTCAAAAGTGCTGTTAAAACTTAAAATTACCCTTTGCAGGATGGCCATTGGGAACTGATTGGTCATAAGTGCCAATATCAACAGTTTCTACTTGCTGATGAGACAAAAATTAAGTAACCATAGTGCACAATAAAAAAAGTGGTCACAAAAAGACAAAAAATTGCCATGTCTGAGAAGTTTTAAAGAAGTTAACAGTACATAAAATCGACAAAAGTTTATATGGGAATCATACAGGTGAAATTTCATCATTTAGTGATTGCATCAACTGTCTCTTGAACTTCTCCAACTGTCAAAAAACAAAAATTAGATTATGCACCAGTATGTACATAAAACTGAAAACCCAAAGGACAAAAATCAGAAGTTGATGCAGCAAGGATGCAATTGAAACCACAATAACTCTCTATACAATAATCCATTTCATTTTATTGTAATAATTTGGGAAGATAAAAGAACAGTATTGACAATTAAATTGCCAAAATATGCAATAATGGAGTATTGGCTGACAAGCAATCTAGCAAAAATTTTATGATTCTGATTAACAAACTTCATGTGAAATTCATCGATTCAAATCCACACACTGTAAAGCAAAAGTTAGAAAACAATCAGATAAAAGAACATACAGACATATTTTTGACAAGGGTTAAATTTCCATACTAAAAAATAATATAAGATACAAGAATGTACATCTAAAGCTGGAATTGTTGCAGATTGAGGATAAATTAAAAGAAGGATGACAAAGATGCGTTAAAGACAAGATTTAAATGATATAAATATGGCCATACTAACGTGGTATCAAAGCATACGAAGGTCTAGGTTCAAGTTTTGCCATCACCCATTAAATGAAATTGTGGAAAATTAAATCACTTCATGGCATGTTGAAGACAAGATTTTGATGATATACATGTAGCCGTTTCTAATAGCTAAGGCTTTTAGATGAAGTGGTTCAACAAGATAGAACATATACTAAAGATGTCGCAGCCTGTTCATCAGAATTACATGATCTTGATAAAACATGTCAAGAGATGAAGGGTGGACAAAACTAACATTGCATGCTTCAGGTAGATCTAATAATGAAGCCAAATGAAGTGGAGATGAAGGATGCACATAGTGGACCAAATTTATTGTGAATATAAAATCAGTTTGTCATTGTTGGTAAGTTTTCAATATCACAATATACTGGTATCCTATAGCTTACATAAGAAAAAAGCAGAAAACAAATAGTTAAGGCATCAACAACTACATATTCAGGTAAGTATACTTTTAAAGGAAGATTGAACACAATTTAATGAATTCCGTGCAAAAATGCACAAAAAAAATATCTGTAATGATTAATTGTTAGCAAGGAAAAAACCTTTTTCAGAATGAATTCAATACATGCGCCTTCCTAAAAACTATCTCTTCAACAATAACGAATAACATCCTACTTTAATACAAAAAGAACAACTTTCAATCTTTATTTTCCATATAGCTATTGAAAAGTTAAAGAACCAAAAACTTAATTGCAGAAAGCATCAATGATTGAGACAGAGATTAAAACTTCAAATAAAATCAATTTATTTAGATAATAGTAAACTACGTTTCTCCAAAAGTAAAAATTCAACATCAACCAAAAAATTCCAAATAGGCCAAATTACCTTAGCCAAATCACGATCCAGCTTCTTCGCTGTCAAAGCCAAAGAGTCTCTCTCCTTTGCTAGCTTCATCTACAACTCATAAATAAAAGAACCCGATTATAAAACATATACCCCACAAATTATTAAAATTGGAATTCAATTTTTCCAAAAATGTATATACATACTTACATTATCTTCACACATGATTCTCAGTCGGAATTCAGCTTCTTGAGCGGCCTGTTCGAGCTGCGATAACTTATCTTCTAGCTCCACAATAACCCGGTCCTTGTCCCGGAGCTTTTGCCCGAGCATCCCCGTTTCCGATTCCAATTTCGTTACCCGCGACGCGATTGCCATGGACGTGATCTTACGCGCCAGATACAACTGGTCGTACGGGTCAGTAGGCATCACCGACTATATCTCGTCAGGTAAATTGAAGTCCGGCCCCGCCCGACTGCTGTCTCCGCTGCTCTGCGACATTGCACAGAACAAATCCCTAGCTTTCACAAATTGAATTTCGATAAGAAAAAAAAAAAGATGAATTCGAAGGGTTTGAGAATTGAGGGATGGCAATGGAGTTTACGACGATGGGATATAATTAATACATGTGATGAAATGGAAAGGGAATTATTGGAATAATATTTTTAGGAATCGAAGAAACGTCAGATGTATTTGGTGGAAGATACGCATGTTGCGTTGTCTTGTCCGGGTTTCAAAATTGGGGATTTCCCTCCCGACAGCATTTTTAATTGGTGATAATGAAATAAGGTTATGAGAATTAATTTTTTGATCAATTGAGAGAAAAATAAATTTTATTTATGAGTGAAGAAATCAAAAATAATGACTCGCTATATTAATTAAGGATTAAAAATTGATTTTTTAACTTGAAAAATAAAAAAGGAGGTTATATATATATATATATAAACCTAAAAATAAATTAAACTATTTGCTTCTAACTGAGTACAGAAACTTTACAGCACACACATAGCATTTTTTTGGCACTATTTTATTTTATATGGGATCCACTCTCATGTGAGACTTCTGTAAAATAATTTCTTTACAACTAGAATTATTGATAAGTTTTTAACTATGGCACAGTTAACGAAATGAATCCAAATCTATTTTATGCAATAACCAAAAAGAAAAATTTTATTGCCCATCACGATTATAGCATTAATGCAAACAATTTTATAAAACAATGTTCTTTTAACAGTATAATTTAATTAAATAGAATAATGATATAAAGTTCCACTGAAATTATAATCCCAGTCCACATGACATTATGTGACAAGTTAAATAATTTATTTAATTTTACTTATCATTTAATGTCAATTAACTCTACATAAATTGGGGTTATAGCTCCGATGAGGGCTAAATAACATCACTTAAATAAAAAGGTACAGGAAAAACTAAACTATGAATACAAAAACCACACAATGTCATCTCTCTCTCTCTCTCATAAAGATAGAACAATATGATTCATCACCTGCCCTCGGCAATAATCTCATGAAGAATGGGTTTGGAATCGAGGATAGGTGAATAAGATGGATTTGTTGCCCTGCTTCCTATTTTTGACGAATTGTCATGACTAAAATCAGTTCTTGAAGTTGAACTATCCATATTTGACATAAAGATTGTTGCATCTCTAAATTTCCAGTCAGTCAGGTATCCTGGCTTCGAACTGACAGGGGGCACCTCAATATCTCCAGAAAGCATTGACACCACACGGGACATTGAAGGCCGCAAATTGGGGGACGTTTGACTGCACAGAAGAGCCACTCCTATAATTCTTTTCACTTCATCTTCCTTCACTTCGGATAGTGTTCTGTCAAGAAGTGCCATTTCTTGGTTTGTCTCGTGAAGATTCCAAGCCTGCAAGCATATATCGTACTTAAATTAGTACCTACTGAGGCAAACGATGTTGGAAAACACAGACACACATTTAAACATTGATTTTAGAGGTGTGCCCGCTAACAGATAGAGATTGGAATTTGTTTTCTTAATGGGTCCAATCTCTCTTGTGGTCTCGTATAGAACTATAATGAAATATACGATCAACCAACATTTATTGAATTTGAAAAAGAGTCCGTTCGATTCTCTTATCCCTTGTTCTATTAGCGAGGAGGAAAGGTGATTAAAAAGAAAGGACGAGTTCTTTACTTTATTGATTAGGACCCCATCAAAGATGAGAAATTCTATTCCTGAGACATTAGATCTGCATAAATTTTGGAAGGGGAAAGGGGAACTTCCTGAATAAACATTGGGTTGAGAAGAACTAATTCCATTTTGTTGAGTATGGTGCAAAACAGAATGAGAGAGAGCTTTTTCACTTTCAGGCATATTTCTTCGTTCTGTCCTTTCGTATCTCTTCCTCATTTCCCTTCTCAGGTGTTGAATTGGAGAAGAAAACAAGAGGATAAGCCTCAGAAGGCTTAATCTCAATGCTGAGGCCCCGTCCTATTCCGGCTAATACAATCTTTTGATAATCTTCCCATGAAGAAAATTTTAGATTTTCTCAGATTCCACTGGGAGGCAAAATCACTACTCAATGTCCGTGGAAAAAAGGGAGCACAAACAAGAAAGAGATAAAAGAAAGAAAGAAATTACCTAAATGAACAGGTGTAAAACAAGCACATTCATCAAAAAGAATTTTGATATTATGTAATTTCTACCTAGACACTCAATATTAGTGAGCCTCACACCTACATTTATGTTTTCCAACTATAATCTTTTAATTGGTTTAGTTACGAGTAATTGTGCATTTCTCTAGGATTCCAAACAAAAGAAAACTTCCCTACCTGACATCTACCACGAACCGAATGAGCAGAAAAGTTAGACCAATGAATCAAACTGTAATAAAAGTGGTCTCCTAATATTGTGTCATTGCTACAAGAATCAAACTGCAAAAAGTAGTATTATGGAAATCTTGTTTGTAACTGCAAACTGTGCATTGTAAATAGTAGTATTATGGAAATCTTGTTCGCAACGTCAATTTTGCATTGTACAGTACTATTTTGTGACCACAAGCATGAATAAAAATAATAGTATTGCAGAGGTAAAATTTGTGAAATGACCTACAATTTCCTTTTGGTAAGTAAGTCAAAGCTAAAAACTGAAGAAAATATGGCAATATTTTCAAGAAACATCTTATGGATAACCGGGTTATATATAAATTATTAAATTCTAAAGGATCAATATGCACAAAGGTTCAAAATGCGTAATAGACCATACCCATTCAAGAAGATACACCTCATCCTCTTCCAAATTAGAGTCAGAATTCAGCCTTCCACTGACAATTTCTAAGGCTACAACTCCAAAGCTAAATACGTCAGCTTTCTCGGTAAGGTGCCCGCGCATGGCATACTCCGGAGCAAGATACCCACTATATGAATGAAAAATGAAAAATGAAAAACTCTGCAATTAACCCACCCCCATTCTAGTCTACATTCCAACTGGAAATGCAGGTCACTACACAAAAGATTAAGACAGACTAAAGGAACATCATGGATTAAGAATTTTTGTGAACCTTACATTGTTCCTGCAACACGGGTACTTATATGGGTCTTTTTGTCATCATACAATTTTGCCAAACCAAAATCTGAAATTTTGGGGTTTAGATCAGAGTCAAGCAGAATGTTGCTAGCTTTAACATCTCTGTGTACAATTCGAAGTCGTGATTCCTCGTGCAGATAAGCAAGACCTCTTGCGACTCCCAAGCATATGTCAAAGCGTATTGGCCAATTAAGAGATAAAGTTCTATTCCCTGCTAAATCAAAGCAAAGTGATTCAGTCTCCTGTATATTGAAATTAATATGAAGCTGTAGACAAGCTATCTCATTACTACCAAATAATACTTGATCAAGGCTCTTGTTTTCGAGATACTCATAAACAAGCAACCGTTTATCTCCCTCGATGCAGCATCCATACAATTTCACAAGGTTACGGTGCTGCACAGCTGATATAGTGGCAATCTCTGCAACAAACTGACTCTTTCCTTGATGGGATGCAATAGACAACTGTTTAACAGCAACTACTCTTCCATCCTCAAGCGTTCCCTGTTGGTCACAACACAAAAAGTTCAGGTGTATTAAACTTAGAAGTTACAAGAAGAAAACCAAATAGGAATTGATAGGATCTGAAACAGTTGCACACACATTCCTTGCGATACAATATCAGGTTGGGGATTTACAAATATACAAAAGGTAAAGGAGAAAATAACGAAGGCATTGTGGGCTAAACATCGAATTATAGCAATAATGTGAACTACTGAAACTTACAAGGACTTGCTACCACCTTTATTTTGTCTTAATTCTTCACACACTTCATGTGTTGGTTTATAAATAAAGCCCGATTTTTAATTGTTCCACCATTTCTATAATCTTTGATTCAAAAAAATTTCAGAATAGAGTTTACCCTGTACACAGGTCCAAATCCTCCCTCTCCAAGCTTATTAGCAGGATTGAAGTCATTTGTTGCAGCTCTTAGCTCCACATAACTGTAAGTGTATGGTCTAGCATCCATCCCCAAGAAAGCTGTAAATTCACAGAGAAATATCTGTTCACTTCCAAAGGGCAATGATTATTCATCCAACCCCTAGCTGATTCATTCCTTACCTCATATAATATTGTTCCATACGAGGATAAGAATTATAAGTTTGGTATTAATTAAATATGCAGTAACCTATCTCTCATTGTGGAACATTTAGGAAGCAATTTATCACATAAAGTTAGACAAAAAGCATAGAAGCAACAACTCCTCCTGAACTGGAAGGGATACTTAGGCCACAATACTTTTCCTTTCTTACCTTCATCCTCATAGCTCCTCTTCCTGTTTCTTCTCTGAGCCAAATAATATGTCACAAATACAGAAAGAATACTTACAGCTCCAACTGCAACTCCAATCCCCACAATCAGACCAGTCCTATTCTTCTTCTTACTTGGAGGACTGTTTCTAACAGTGGGAATGAAATCTGTGGAAAAGCTTATTGATCAATATTGGCATCTAGATAATAGGAATCAGAGTTGAGAATTTTTGTGAGCTGTTAAATATCTTGAATTTATATTTACCTGGGCTGGCACTTATTGCCGAAATTGAAGGCCCATATGTACCTTGAGTAGGAACACAACAAGTCCCTTTTCCAGCCCAGAAGAAATGGATTTCAAGGTAGTTTTCAGACACTTGAACTTTCAATTCCTTCACAACAGCTCTCAAAGGGGTCCCATCAGCCTCTTTTACTATGTTAAAGTCTTTGAACTCCAGCTTCCCCTGGACCCCACAAAGTCACAATTTGGTTCAATAATACATGAAGAAGAACCAGGATACATTGATTTTCAGAGTATACTTCAAAAGGAAAATATACAAGATACTTGAAATTCTAAATTTAACTACAGAAATACCAAAAGTCATGGCAAGCATTGCTATTGAAATTTGAACTAGAGAAAATTTCGGAATAGAACATGTGGACATTGATTTTAAGGCATGAATGTTCTTTGAACAAAAATAAAAGGTAACCATCGCAAGTATTGCCTTGAAAAATACATACTATATCGCCCATATCAAATATCAAACACCCCATCAAGTACTACATGATGAAAGGTGAACTGGCGTTTTAGACAAAGATGAGGCTTGAAGGTGCATCAAATACATAACTATTCCATCAGACACACCCATCGTGATCATATTAATTGATGATAGTAAATCAGTGTGTAGTTTAAGTACAATGAAAAATATAAATGCAATAGTTTTAATAAGAACTCTTTTTTTTTTCACAGACCTGGATATATATATCAAAAACCCGCCTTCCAAGACTCATCCACCTCATAGGACCAAGAATTCCGATTTCTGCGAACTGAAGTTTCACAGTGTAATTACCATTCTCAAGACCCAATCCATAGTATCTCAAAGATCCAGCAGAAATTCGTGCAGTTTGAAACAACTCTGAGTCCAAAGTAGCAGTGAATTGGGATGAAGAGGAGCTTTTGTATTGTGGGTTGTTGCTATTAGAAGGCAGACCAACGTTGCTAACTGCCCATCTGTTTGTACTGGTTGTGTAATGTGTTGCCGGACCAAGAGTCTCATTATCCATCTCATATACAATCTGATCTGAAGACCTGATTTGCCGACCGCCACATTTGATTGCAAAGCTGGAATCTGCAAACCATCATCCAGATGAACTTGTCAATTATCAATGCGACTTCACAAAAGTGCTTGCACAAAGAATTTGAGTGGAAACAATTTTGCGAACAATATTTTGGCCTGTTTTGCATCATATTTTGTAGAAGTAATTTCTTTTAATACAAAAAATATTGGCTAGTGCTTCTTGTAAGAAAATCTGATGGAACTTTTGAAATTAGGACGAGCAACTATGATTTAGCTCGAACAGGTTGAAAATCTTCACTGTAAAATAAGATTAAAACATTTCATTTTTACAAAATACATATATTGATTTTTGTTTCTGAGTTTGAGATAACTGGTGTCTCCTTGATTAAAAAATTAAGACATGTACAGGTCACCCAATTTATTTTTTTATGTTTTTTAATATTTATTACGAAATAAAATGCTCTAGGACTATTCCCAATCAATTTATATCTCCAGAACATTATAGTGCAATTTTAATATTTATAGAACATGTTAGCAAAATATCAATCTGAAACACAAACACATACGCCAACACAAACACACATAATCTTAAAACTGCCAACTATATCTTTTAATGTGCCTACAACTCTATGTGCATATAGAAATAAAGTCCAATCAGTTGTGCAACAAAATTACTAGGCAAAGCAACATTCTGCCTAAAATTAATGACAACTTTAACCACATTTGGGGGACTAGTGAAGCTGTTGGTGATGATGTAAGGTGTGAGGTGAGCTGGTGGGAAATAGGTGGAAAGAAACAAGGGTAAAGTGTCAAAATATACCATATATAGAATAACTTCACTATTTAGCCATAGTCTGGAACAGATAATGGCAAAGTCAGCTCTTCTTAAGCAAAAAACTGGATAAACCTAGCTTCTGCTTATTAGTAACAATGCAGAGCAGGCCTTTAAAATATGTTTTATTAGGGCACAGACCTTTGCATTGTATATTCTGCTCCTGACAGCTATGTTAAACTCTTTGTTTAGATTCAAAAAAGGAAAAGTGAGTTCCTTATTAGTTTTCAGACTTTCAAAACCTGTTACCTACTTACACATGTTGGGATAAATACATCACTTACAGATAGGTGATCCTCGATTGCAGGGGAAATTCCGCTGCAAGCAATTCAATCCTGAAGGCAGAGCACTAAAAAGTGCAAGAAGAATGTATGAAATTAGGGAAAAAAATTGTTGTATTGGAGTTACAGAAGCATCAAGCATTAACTTTGTGAATATAAATATTTCAAATCACTCAAGATGACTAAATTGCGCTTCTCAAATAGAAGGAAGTGAAAAATGCATGCAAAGATTATTGTATATAAGTAATGCAAGCATGTAATAAAGATGTACTTTTTACTATAGCTTTGGTTAGGAAAGCATTCTTCTTTTTGTATCAAGAACAATAGGAGAATGGACTTTTCCCACGCAATTGCCTCAGGTTCTTTGGCTGAGAAAACTCTTGCTCTACTGAGATTGTCTTTCTCCTAGTTACTAGGACTTCGTGATAATGCTCTTTGACATATTTAAACCAATCTTCTCAATAATGTTTACTGTATTTTCCAAGTCATAATGAATTGTTATATTATTGTTATTTTTTGTTAAAGTACAAAGAAATTATGTGAAGCTGCTAACTGCTTTGACATATGATACTGACATAAGAAAATGAACCATTATCATTCACAGTGTGGACATAGATATGGAAGTCACTTGCAAGTTGCAATTAATATCATATTGTGTACTCTCTCTTGCAAAATGGTTTATGGTAAGTTAACCAATTTCTACTGAAAGATGAAAACTAGCAGGCATAGATTTAGCTATTGGCTGATCCTGCAATGGTTAAGTTAGGACAAAAGTAAATATGGATGACCAATATAAACATTACAACCCAGGCATGTCTACATCAAGACGCAAACCAATTGTAAAGTTTAGCAAGTGAATCTATATAAATTTGTGCTTCAAATATTTACCTGCCATTAGAATTGTCTATGGTAAAGTTGTTGGCAACCAAATTGCTGCATAATACATCAAGAAAGATTTCTATGTAAATTGTTAAAAAGGGCAATTTAAATCATGAAGTGATCTCAAATGAAATATCAAGCAGAACAATGCCACAGAGTATAAAGAATATGCAGCATCCTCATCTTCATTCACACATACAGTTGTAAATTTGGTCCGCTGACCCAAGATGGTAAGCTCCCAGATAATCCATTGTATGATAAATCTCTGCAAGGAATACAACAATAATATTACAAGAGGAGGCATATACCTCAACAAAATATAATAGTGGCATTGCATATTCATTTGACTCCTGTAATATAGAGGCTTAATATGAATTCACATTCAGTGCAGATTTATGGAAATATAGTCTTCTTTAAATTTCCCTTAAAACATGTAGAAATAATGAGGGAAACCCCAAATACTGCTTGTTGGATCCTGATTGATGCAGATGGGGAAAGGTGGAGAGCATATTGAACAGGCCATGAGAGAGGAAGAGAGAGTTGTTACTTTCATTAAGTTCCATTTTATGTATCAATTTGAATATCCTTTGCCAACTTAATACTTTTAATTAAGCAATCTAGAGTGTAAATTTAAGAGTATGCATTCACTACTTTTATAATTATATAAATCAAATATGCCTACAAATAATGATGAGATCCAAAAGCATCGCCTTTGTATCCACACCTTCAAGTTCTAATCATGTATTTCAGACAAGAAATGCAACTTATAGAAGTTTTTTTTTCTTTTATCAGAACCACTAGGATATAGGATGCAGCAACTGAACTATTTGATTAAAATATGAACATCTGAAAAGCACAACGGTGTGAATACTAACATGTTCTGGAGTGATGTATGCTTTTGCGCTGGCAGGGGCCCAGTAAACTTGTTATTACCAAGAAATCTGAAGATGAAAAATAAATAACTGATTTAGGGCCCAGTCTCATTCTCTGGGCGAGAGAGTCATTTGAGGTCTCAACCATAAGTGAGTAATGGATGATTTATTACAAGTTAGACAATGAACTCAAATTGAAAAGAGAATCTGGAATGCGCTCTGTCAAACTGTTGAAGCTCAAATCCCTGAAAAATAAAATTATAAAAGATTGTAGAGCAAGGCAATGTAGTAGCTTTGTAGCTCCTTTACAGGTAAGTGAGGTCAATCAGCTAAAAAATATTTTCAAGTTCATTTCTAGGAAAACCCCTTATATGTGGTTAATGTTCTCAACTTGAGATTGAGAATGCATTAGGCCGGACTGCATGAGTCCCATCTCCCTAGTTACCATGAATCTTTGAAAGTCATACCACAATAAAAAGGCTTACAGCAGTGTTAAACTCTGGTATTCACCAAAATTGGAAGGTAGAGAACCTGAAATGTTATTATTCCGCAAAATTCTGCCAATCAAGAAATAAGTTCATTACGGTACAAGTTCCCAAAGCAACAGAGAATTTGTTATAAGAAAGATTACATCATATTACTACAGAATTATAGGCTGTGTTTCTTCCTTACAAGGTGGATAACGACTTCATACTTCCAGCAAAGTCCAGTGTAGAGCTTCCATTAGATAGATCACTTATTCTCCTACTTGTCATGTTTGCACAATAATATTAGCTTAAGAAAGCATAGAGAAGAAAGATTCGTAACATAAATGAAAACAGAACTCACAAATCATTCAAAGAGGTTAAATTGGAGAACGATGGTGGTATTGGACCCTGAAAGGAGTTTCCTTGGAACCTCCTGCAAAAATATTTTTAGCTGATCACAAACTACACATAAATCTTGACTCCAGAGGAATTACTTGAATGAAGATGGCATGTAACAATTTCAGCATGATAAATCATTGAATCATATAAATGAACTTGATTTCTGTCTCACAGGGATATAAGATTTGACCAACTCCCAATAAAGTCAGGAATCCGACCAGTAAGTTCGTTGTCAAAGGCCCACCTGAAATCCCCCAAAATTTATTCCAGTGAACTTGATTAGAGAAGTTGAAACAATAAACTTATCTGTCATTACAAAAGAAAGGAACAGAGAGGATATGTTCTTACATGTTCTGTAAACTCGTTAGATTTGAAAATGTTCTGGGTATTGGACCGCTAACTCCAGCACTGGGAAAGTAACTGCCAGGAAACAAACATGATATGAATGAAAAATAGAGCAGGAACTTTTTTTTCATTCTCCTAGCACAAAAATAATTTTGTGGCTTCTCATAAATCAATAAATTAAGATTCGGAAAATTTTAATATGGTTAAAAGCAAACATTATGATGGACTATGAAGTAGATCAAAAATGCCAAAAAACATCTTGAATGAATTACAAATGAGCTTACCCAACGTGGATTAGAAGATAATAGAATACAAAAGGCAAATCAGGTCACAGTTGTCAAATAGCGTGTCACGGAACCAAAAAAAAAAAAAAAGGTTCTTCACATTTTCGCATGTCAAGTTTAGAGATGATTGCATATCTAAACAGATGTTAAAACTGTAGAGAAACTAGAATCCTAAATAAAAATGAGGGCAATATACTAGAAATTTCATGCCCATGATTATTTCACAAAATTTCGTCAGCTTACCTAGCCATAACAAGACAAACAACATCTACTGCATCTCCTATAGTTATATAGGCAGGACACAATAAGAGTGAAGTAGCATCAAAACTTACATTTGTTCTAGTTTTGTTAAACTTCCAAGCTCAGATGGTAGAGGACCAGAGAAATTGTTCGTGCCGAAAGCCCTACACAAGGAAGTAGAGATTACAGATACGTAAATACTTAAATTTATATGTAAATGAACTAATGGGATTTAATTATGGCCTAAACCTTAAGAATAAAACTTAAAAGTTCTTACAACGATCTTAAGTCTGTCAATTTCCCAAGTTCCTTCGGAACCACCCCCGATAATGCATTAATTCCAAAACTCCTAAGGACAATAATAAAAATTTGCAATATATTTAATTAACACTCAAACATGGTTAGTTGACAAGTCGTAAGTCGTACATCACAAACAATGTATCTTACATATATTGCATGCGAGTGAGATTTCCAACAGATGCAGGCAGTGGACCTGTCAAATAATTTTGGCGTAAATCTCTGCAAAATAAGGAAAATCCCAGTATCATCACCATCTAAGAAATAGATATGTGATCAACCAAATGAAAAATTAGCAAAACAAATAATAGAAAAAAAGAAAAAAATAAGCCATCAGATAATGGAAAAATTAACCATACAGATCATCAAGCAAAGTCAAATTCCAGAGCTCATTCGGGATTGGACCTGCAACATCCAATGCATAAACTCTCCTATACAAGTACAACGTTAGGTTAGGAGCCAAAAATCAACGCAACAATTACCGCCTAAAGTGCATAACAAACAAATAAAATAAATCATATTATTGTTAGACACAACCAAGGATTAAAAACACTGTATCTCTCAAATTAAAGTTTTTTTTTTTTTCAAACACTAATTTCGAATCGGTAAAAGAAGGGCAATTGTTATCTCACAGCGCAGTAATGCGGCAAGTGGTGCCATTGTTGTAAGAGCAATCACATTTGATACCCGGATTGATATCCACAATTGCTGTTGTATCGATTGCAACACCACTACATAATTCGCCGCTAATGTTCCATCGTTGATTTGTTCCAGAAATTCCCCATCGCTGAAACATAGCATTCACAGCTCTTGCTGCAAAATCAAAGATCATGTTATTGAGTAGTATGGCATTGTGCATCATTCATGCATGAATGAACTCATAATAAAATTTCACACTTTAACACAAAATTTAAGCATTTCATCAATGAAGTTTCATCCGCCAGTCATCGAGCCTGAGGAAGCATTTTTGAAAGTTTTAGTTACAGTTTGCTTATTTATAAAAACTTTCTTTGTCGACGTTATCCCATTTTTTTCTAAAATACATTTGTTTTTCTCATTTTCATTTCAATCACACATTTTTCAATAAAACAATATTATAAGTAAGTCTAAAATTTTTCCTTATTTTTTAACCACACATTTCCGTCAATGTACTATTCAACATGCATTCTATATCGAAGAATGGAGCTCAAACAAGCATTTAATTTTTTATTTTTTTTTAAGAAAAGCAGCATGTGATAAAGATTATAAAATCTTTATTTAATATTAAGTGAATTATTTAGAACAACAAAATTATTAATATGGAGCATTTAAACTAACATCAAATTTTAAAGAGATTAAGACAAATAAATAAATTAAGCCATGTGAGAGAAAAAGAATAGCTTCAAAATGCAACCAAAATAAGGTAAAATTAATAATTCTATTATTAATTTAGGTAATAGTGGACTTCTTAATTTATGTGTCCGTTAACGGACAGGTAACGATATATTACTCTTTAAATGTTGGCACGTTCGAAGTCTGGCCAAGATTGTGACTGGAATTGGATTGAACCGATTACAATTTCAATGAAATTGGTTCGATCGACCCACACATTCCACAATCATGGCAGTTGAACCGGACTAATAGGAGCAGCCAAATAAAGGCAAGACAATCTAGATGGTCCTTTTTTATTTTTTATTTTTTTTAAATTTTATTGGGCTGGGCTAACACAATCAAACTAACTGGGCATTTTAGCACTGTAAAAAGCTATAGTAGAAAATGTATATATAAAAAAAAAATTGATAAAATTGAAATACATTTCATTTTTATTCTTAGTGATACTTATCCATTTTAATCAATTGTTTAATATAATTTACTCTGTTTTAATTAAACTCCAATTTTAAGCTATCAATCCTTCTCTCACCATTTCAAACACCATTCGAACACCACAAAATCCTAAATATTTTCATGATGAAAAAGTTTGAGGTATAAATATGATAATGTGTAAAGGTTATGAACCTTTTATGCAATTAAAACATAGTCTAGTTATTAAAAATTGTATTGTGAATATATTTAGCATTTTTTAATAGTCAAATAATATAAATAGTGAAAAAGGACCATTTATGCACATAATCGTAAGTTGGAAACGTCTATGCCCAGAAAAAAAATGTTAAAACCGAAATCACACAAAAATAAATAACTGAGGAACTATTGCATCAATTTCCCAATATATAATAAGCATAAAACCTGTAAAATAAAAAAGAAAATGAGAAGTTGATGATGACAGAGGAAACTGTTAATTAACAATTATTTTAGATTAGTTAAGTCTGTATCACTTTACGATATTTTAATCTTCGACCAAGTTTCTACAGCATGGACCTACACAGATATTATTTTAAAAATGTTAAAATAATGAGAAATGTCAAACTTACAAGACTATTCGACCAGGAATTTGGAATTTTTCGAAGATTTTAATGAAATGAATGTTAAAATTCAGATCCACAATAATAAAATTTTGAGAACGTGGGGGATCCGAATTGAGAGTTGATACTGATGATATCGAAAATAGAAATCATTTTACCAATGTAATTGTTGGTGTTTGATCTAAGAGTCGTACTGGGCGTACAAGCCCAGCACTTGCGGGGTCTTACCGACCCCTCACATAGATGGGGTTGGTTTTTTTTTTTTTGGCATCGGGACCCACATCGAGGTGAGAGAAATGAGAGAGGGGGACAGGCCTGATAGAGGAATATTTTCCTTGATCTAAAAGCTCAAATTGAATCATCGTGAGTTTCACTTCAAAGCAATCAAAAGGGCCTATTTGTATCACTTCAAAGCAATCAAAAGGGCCTATTTGTTAGGAAATTCATAACAAGACAGTGTAGGAGGCCTACTTATGGATACATCCTAACAGGTCGATTAATAGAAAATGTCATAAAAGAACACATCATGATCAAACTGAAAGGATGTCCCCTTAAAGAGGGCTGCTATATGTATAACAGTTTTGACAGCCCTCTCACATATAAAGGGTGGGGCTCGCGATCTTTGTGAGAGGGCTATAAAAATTTACAGCATTTCTACCCCCTAAAACATAAACACCACACCTCGTGACTCATCAAAAGCAAAGGGGTGTCCTCCATGACGTAAGTAGGGCCAATTTTTATTTTATTTTTTTGGGGAGGGAAGGTAAAATATACGAGATAAAGATATTTGTACTCACACATTTGTATAAAATATTTTACTTACTCTCACATACACATGAAGCCCACATGAAATAAAAAATGCCAACATTTGGCTCCTACCCTTTCGATTAAGTAAACCATTTTGTACAAAAATATGTACATCTAGCACTCTCCAAACACGTATCGTTTAGGGGGACCCCAACTCATTTAAATTTAACATATAAAACATGTATTGTTTCCCGTTAAATTGCTGGTTAAAATCAAACAACATCTCAATCTTATGAAAAAGCCTGCCTCTTTCAGCTCGTAATAGTATTTGAAAATCACTTATGTTCAAACAAGTTCGAGTTGATTGTTCTTTTTAGTTTCTGGGACAAATTATGCAAAAACTATAATTCCATACAAACTGTTTTGTTATGAGATTTTGTGTCAAAAATCGTTCATTTTTTGAATAATTTCCTCGATAAAAATGTGTACAAGTATACAATTACAAAACATCAAGGTCAAATGAAGAAATTAAGAGCAACAAAAAAAGAAAAAAAAAATCTTGAAAAAAGATCAAGTTCTCAAACATTTAAACAAAATATTCGAAAAAAGAGCTGAAATTTGCACTAAAATAGTGAAAGAGATGGAGAGATACACCTTCGGAAGGATCAGTCGTGGCATTTCTGTTATCTTGAGCTCGAGCAATCTCCAGCGGGAGGAGGAAACTAATTAAAACAAAGTACAGGGCGAGGAGAGACGGCGCGTGAGAACCCAGCAGATGGCGTAACTTCTTCATCTGCGTCTTCCTTGATGACTTCTTCTAGATTACACTACAAATATCAAAATTTATAGAGAGAAGTTGATGCCACTGGAAAAAGAAGTTTCAACGTTAGAGAATAATACACTCGTTAATAATTTATAATTTACAATTTATCCTTTAATTAAGATACTTAGAATATATTAACATCACAATTTTTGTCAACTAGACTACATTTTTATTACAATGCATATCCCTAATTTTTTTCTCATTTTTACACTTATGTTCTCAACTTCTTTTTAAAATTTTTTTATCATCAACCTTCGATAAATTTTCACATCTTATCTATAAAAATGATATTCATCCAAAATATTTGGTATGAGAGCCAAAAGGACATATTTCTCTCTTGCTTTTTAAATAATTGAAATAAATGACTAACATAAAAGTTAAACAAAATATTTGTCCATCTTTTCAATGCACTTTAGTGGAATATTTTGATGAAAATCGAGATTAAATACAAAATATGTTAATTAATTGAAAGTTAAGAATGACAATTCGACTCGAAAAAAGTTATGGACGTAAAAGTAAAAATGAGTAAATGTTGAAAACCTTCATTGTGAATAAAATGTGGTGCAATTATAAAAAAATGTTGTGGGGATATAATTGCCCAATATATAATAACATTAGTGGTAGGTTGTACGATTTTAATTACTTATAATAACATTAATTTGTGGTTAATTCCAACTTTGAGAATAAAAGAATTTGGTGCTATAACGTCCACTCTCAACAACCGTTGACATTAGTATAATTCATGCAATAATATTTAGTTCTTTATTATATCACTAAAAAATAGTTTTAATGTATTAATATTATTATTTGTTCATTAAATCATCTAAGTTGAATTATCTTTATTTAATCTTATTGAGCGAGTGATAAGTGAATTTGTATGTAATCTCGATGAAATGATTCAAATTATTTTCGACATTCCACAAAATGAACACAAAGTTTTGTTGATTTTACATCACAACTTTATGTTAAGAGTAAATTTTTCATCGATTTTATTATGATTTTGCCTTGTTTGATGGGGGTTAAAATCAGATTTTTAGTAAATTTTGATAAAAGTTAAAATGTTGTGAATGCCATGAAATATGTAATTAAAGTTAATTGTTAAATTTAAATTAAAATTTAGATTTCAATCGATACCAAACATAATTTATATATAATAAAAAAAAATCTCAAAAGTTGGGGGTCACGTGACCCCCGGGTTCACAAGTGTCTTTAATTTTCCAAATAATGGATGATAGATAAGGACGTAAATTTAAAAACTTTTCCTCATTTTTTAACTACACATTTTTTGAAAAATTATTATTTCTCTCATTATAATTAAAATGTGGAATAACGGAGGCCATCTGTCCTAACTGCGTGTATTGACATCATTGCTTCTGATGTCAAGAATTTGAAATATGATAAATGAAGGTCGAAAATCAGTGATTTGGACCCCATAAATATCGTTTATATGACTAATCACTGCAATAATACAATACTAAGACAAAATATTAATGCTCTCTGTCCAATCCTAAATAAGCGATATTGTTGATATGACTAGGGCTGTTAAGTGGTGCCATCAAATTAGGTGTCCTCAATGATCAATTCAAATGTTAAACTTCTCTTTTAAAAATAAAAAATAAAAAATAAAAAATCGAGGTTTATAAATAGGACTAATCTCTACGATCTCACTACTATATCACTATCTTCTTTTTAATAGTACAAGTTTGCAATAATTAAACATTTGTTCCTTTATTTTCAAATATTTCTTCAATTCCCGTTTTCTTTGTATAAATTATTTCTATTAGTTGTCGTCCTGAATTTTCTACAAATTTCGTTATGAATTACAGTAGATTAACAAACCTCAATAAGGATGTTAACCAATTCTTTGGTAGTTCTAAATACTCTCATCAATGTTTTTTTATTATTTATCAAAATTGATATTTTCTAAATTAAAAAAATGACCGATCATTGACCTTGATGATGATTTAGAAGAAATGGTCTCTAAAAAGAGAAGAAAGAAAGCAAAAGATCGTGAGCCTGGTTATGGATGTTGAAAATATTTCGTGAAAAAAGAGCAAGGTTAAGAATAATGAGTAGATTATGAAAGTGTATTATAATTAACGTGGAATCAACTTCTTTCGAAAATCAAAATTTGGCATTGCCCCATACAACATGAATTATGATTAGTGGTTTGTATTAGGATTGCTAACAGTAGGCAAGCTCAATTTCAATTTGGTTTAAGCGAAGATGGACATTTTGGGACAAATATTTGCAAACTAGGTTTATAATCCAAAAACAACACGAATGGTAATGATTGTAATAGGTGTCGAGTTAATGCTCTCCACAATAGAAAGCTCGCGCTATTGAAAGGACGTGTCCAGGCTATGGAATATGGACGCTTGTATTAACTTATGGGGCTTGTAAATGTATAATTGAAAATATTTAGTAGCGTTTCATGATTGATACACCATTATACATTGTGATGTAAATAATATTATGTAATTTATATTCTCGATATGTTGTAAACAAGGTAAAAAATATGACAAAATATTGTCATTCTTTGATGATGTGCCAAACAAATAATGATGTCTAACCCCATTACTATATGAATTAGGCTATTTGTTCATAAAAAAAAATGTACAATTTTTTTGTCATTGAATGTGGTGTGCTAGTTGAATCTATAAATCTTCTACATCCTCTCGAAGGTAATTTCGAGATTTATATCATAGATATATCGAATAATCTAAATGAACATCGAAAATAATTAACGTACGTCAAATCTGTGTTAAAAAGAAGCCTATTACTCGTCTTTTTAAAAAAATGCAATTATTTAATTAATGTTTATTATTTTTGCACAACAAATTTTTCAATATAATTTATATCATTTTATTAGAATTTTTTACTTAGGGTATGATATTTTTTTTTTTATGTAAGTAAATTTTTAATAATTTCCTAAATGATCTAGAGACGACATTTTACATTAATGTAAAAAATTTGACATTAATGTTTAAAGAGATGTCATTTAAAAAATTTAAAAGTTTATTAGGAAACTTTTTAAGTGACATAAAAAATTTTATTAGATTATTTAAAATAATTGGAGTTAAAATAATTGATTTTTTGGTAGAAAATTTATTTTGGTGTACTAAAATTAATTTTTAAATAAGTCGAGTTAAAATAAGTCGAGAATTGAACGACCTATTTAGGTATAAAATAAATTAATATAAAATGATTATTTTTTTTAAAAAAAATAATTCGAGTTATACGTCTGTTTTTCCACTCACGTTTGACGTTCGTTTAACTATTTTTAATATTCATTTAGATCATTCGATATATCTACGATATAATTCTCGAAATGAGCTTCGAAAAGATATAGAAGATTTATGGATTCGACTAGCGTACAATCGTCGAAGATTTTTTAAAGTTAGCTTGTTATCGAAATTTTCGAAATACTAGTTTTGAACAGCCTCCTTTGAAGCGCCGTAACATGTGCTACGATTGGCCGTTTCGCACACCGTTAATGACATAAAATAGTAGGCCATGAGCACTTCAAAATAATACTAAGAATGTAATATTTCGACTTTATTTGATATCCCGTATGAGGCCGAAAACTAAGGCAAAAATACAAGTAATTTAATGAATTTATTATAATATTTTTTTAAGCCAACAGTCATTCCCTTTCCTTGTGCCTGACACGTCGCCGAAATTTGAAATTCTGTAAGGATTCTGTGCAATTCATTCTGTACGTCTAGCATTTTTCTCTTTCACCACCCACGTTGACTATTGAGAATTCAATCAAATTTAAATTACAATATTATATAATTTTTTATTTTTTTGTTATCATGTCTAATTTGGCCTAATTATCCCCGTATCTAGTCCATATTTGGTGCGTATTAAAATTTTAATAGCTCTTTAGAACCTTCGGTTTAAGAGTTCTATAAGGGAGTCCTCCCGACCTGACCATTCAACGCGGATACGAGCATGCATTTCAGTGAGCTCTACTGTTGTTTCGCGTTCTAAGACAAGACGGGTGTGGTCTTTGTCGCTTTTCAAAAACTAGAAGAAGGTGAATGATTACATCACAATGAAGCCAATCTACAAAGTTCTCACTGAACCAAGCTCCTACTCCTCCTCCTTCTCTTATCCTAGCTCGTCCGCTCCGAAGAAGAAGGTTTGGATCTTTCAATCTTATGTCGTGAGAGTATTGTGTGATCATAGTTCTTTGTTTTTTCTTCTTTAGGGCTGGAGCAATTCAAATGATTAATGATTTGGTTTCATTAGCTGACTTCAAAGAAAGGGGTGCTCTCTAGGACAAGGAACGAGAGAGCATTGATCTTTGGGCAGTCCAGTGGGACGGGATAGAGCTAGCGTTTGATCATTTGGCTTTTCCAGCGATACGAACGTATTTAATTCATTTTGTTCTGTAAGACCATAATGAAAACGCAATTTTTTTTTTAATTCTAGCCTGCCGTTTCGGGTGCTCTTGCCGGGGAAGATTTGAATGAGAAAATTTGGCTTAAGCGAGTGAAAGATGTGCCGAAGATCCGCCTATTGACTAATGAAATTATAGGTGCCTATCCCCTCGCTCCGGAGGTCTTCTGGACTTGAGTTTGAGCTTCGTTCTTTCCACTCGTCAACTCGTTCAAATGGCTTAAACCTTCCTCATGTACACCCTTTCATTCCAGGCTTTCGATAGCAGGCGATAGGAAGCCAATAGGGTAGGCAGGCAATAGTGGCATAGGTCAATAGGGGGCTGAAGTACCCTCAACCAATAGAAATGTTGCAAATAACTTGAGAAGTGCCTAGAGAGTTCTTGTGATCCAAGTACCAAAACACCATCTTTGGGGCATAAAGTAGATTTCCCTTCTCTTTTCCCTGGGAGATGTGTGCAGCCTGTAGAGCACATGTAAGGCACAGTCGGGTTGCTCATGCAGCGGATCTCTCTCTATCTATAGATATCTATAGCTAGAGGCTGACGGTGGCTCCATACGGTATACAACACCCAAGGGCCTTCTATACGCTCACTTACCACATTGCCATCCTCGAACTGAGTAGCAATTAATCAATCAATAAAAGCTTTGCACCATACATAGCTCGTCAAGTGAAAGAG